TGTTCTGATATGCAACAGGACAAGTTAAACAGGATTTCCAGGCCTGCAGGCTTTGTGGATTTTTTACTATAACATTGAGGACACAGAATGAGGCGGAAGGACAGGACTACGTTATTAATCCCTTAAAGCAATCTGGTAACTATATGTACCAACTACTCTAACATACAATAAGTCTGCATTCTGTATACACAGTGTGTTCATGGTTTTTTTTTGTGATTCTCAGAATAAACAGCGACTATTTCCCTAACAGAATTAGCTAATTGATTGTTTTAATGTATTTTCTTTGAGGTGAGATCTGAATTTATAAACATCATTTTTACAAGATTCAGATCCAAAGCTACAACTTTCCATGTAGACCATCAAGTGGCAAGACTTTGATCCTTGACCTGTATAAACACTTAAGACCACTTCGATTACACAAACCCCCATTCCAAATTTATCTCCAGTACTTTCCTAAAAGCTTTCGAAATAAATATGTTAAAACAAAAGTACATATTTATGCTCCTTAATGGAACTGACGAAATCTTAGTTTCATGATTCACTCCAATGTAAGATCAATTTGCATTCAAGCTACAGAGGTTCGATTTCATCGCAAGCTGACGCGTCTTTAAACCAATTTATACTACTTCAACGTAGGCTGAGTACCCCAATTCAACCCTTTAAAACAGAGTGGTAACTATATGTACCAGATGCTTTAAAATCAGTAACTCTGCGTTTTGTATTTATGGGTTTCGAGTAATTTTCAATGTAGCGATTATTTCCTTAAACATAATTATCAGGATGACTTGTACTTCAGAAACGTTTCGTTCTCTTTAAGATACAGACTCAACTTTTACATATTACTTAAACGAGCTTCGACTTCAAAGGGTTAATTGGTTAAAGTAATTGATACACAAGAAGACGGATTGCGCAGATGGCGTCTGCCTGACTTACGAAGTAACTTGATAACTTTATGCACCAATTCTCTTAAACTGATTGGCTCACGAGGGCACAGCCGCCATAGTTAGTGTCGGTCACTTTCATTAAGGCTTCTTTAAGTTCATAACTTCGTTGTGAATCGTAACATCCTTCCTAGAAATTTGAAGCATACAAGATCAAGTACATGAGACGAGAATTTCTCGTGATGTTACAGATAAATGCTACTGCATTCTTCAGAAATAAATGCTTCCAAATGTACGCTGACCAACTGCACAGAGAAAAAAGTCTTTCTTGCGAAGCTCTTCAAGGAACCCTCGACTAGTCCACACACTGGTAAATGCGTAAAAGTTGCTGAGTGTAGAGGTCGATCGGGTGCCTTTATGAACAAGATAAATAGGACTCATCGCCCTGATAATAGAAGTAGTAAGAACCTCTGAAACGTCGGTTAATATAAACCAGAGCTGGGGGGCTCAACATCCCAGAAGAAAGTTGTCTTCATCCCGTAATTGGTAACTGTGAAAAGTCCAAATTTCCAGCATATTGGCGCTGTTGAACCTTGCGGTTTCATTAACAGTGGCTTACGTTACAGAACCATATAAACTAGACCAGCGTGGTCTAACTGGCGGCCCGCGACCACTTGTAATCCGGCCCGCGAAAGTATTGGTTAATTTATTACAAGTTAGTATAAACCCATTTTTTCGAAGTTGATATTCCGTCTCTGGTAAAACAACATTCTGCTCAGTGCTCTCACTAAAGCCATTGACTTTAAACGCATAAAGATGTACGTTCTACTGGTACAAATCGTTATTACATCAGATACAAGCTGTTAAAGTAGCGGACTTCAAATAATTTGTGTATGTTTTCCAGGTAAGAATTGTAAGCGATACAAGTTTAAAATAATATACAACTCTATAGTAGTTTGTGCACATTTAAATAAAATTTATATTTCGGCATATGCAATGGTAATTTGTCATTTGTGAATAAATATTATTAAAGACAACGACAATGCAAGGGTTTCTTGGCCCTTGAGTCCAACAGGAAAACTATTCCGGCTCGAGCGAGGAAAAAAATTTGGACCACCCTGAACTAGATCATACCACTTTTAACATTTCTTGGAAGCGTATTTAAAGGAACAAGCGCTGTCTGACTGCCAGCCTCAATATGGAGATCAAGCGAAATACCTGAACGCGCCGCAATTACAGGGCACTAACTTTCCACAATACGCAGGACTTGACGTTTCCACGGCTTCCTTATTTGGAAGCGCGCGTGTTCGTTACCAGATGTTTTCTAAACTTAAGCACGACACAAGAAAACGAAGAAACTGACTCCCAAACTGGGTACACCGACACAATAAATCCATAGTTAAGTAAGGCGTCTTAAGGCCTTAATGCGATGTTTCGATCATTTTCCTTTGTTCACTTTTATACTTAATAACGTTACATTTATTGCTAAAAGGTTTCTGCCCCGCACCTAACTTAACATAAACAATGTCACAAAGAGGACAGAAGCTAGTTATTTCTACAGTGTGGTTCAAAAGTCCCTGTGACACAAGCCATATCAGCTACAGATGACATGTGAGTGCACAGGTAATTTTGGATAGCTCCCCACTTTGGAAACTTTCCTAAATATAAAACACGTCACCAAGGAAAAGTTCACTTGTTCGTTTATTTGTTCAATTTTTTACTTCTCTCTGACAACATCAGGTTTAATAAAGTCTTTATTAATGAAAGCCACCGTGAAACCTTCACATCATATAACTTCAGGTTTGTCTGACTCAGCCCGACAAATAAGGTTGAAAAGTTAATTTGGGGCAGAGTCTAATAATGTGTAGCGATGCAAATGGCCATTCTTTTAAAATATGTCTAAGAAACCCGTAATATTTACATCGCACTCCAAACACTGCCTGTGTAACTGGTAACGTTCCCTTATCTTCGCAAGATAAGTCACACGTCACTTCTGGTTCCGTATCTTGGGACTTTGCATATTTCTCAACACCTTAAAAATGTCACAGATCAAGAATTAGGTAACTACGCAAAACCCAATCACACTAGAGTGTGCTAATCTAGGATAATTACATTCAATTTCGCCTTCATTGACTTCTGAAAACGCTTTCTTCATGAATTAAACTTCTCTACAGAGGATTTTTATAACAGCGGTAGAAATAGAACTCAAAATCAATTTATATGTGTAGCCTATAACACGTTTTAACATTGGTAAACATTCTCATAAAATAATTTTATATATCACGCAGGAAATATATCAATACAGAACCCTGTTTCACATTAGAGAAGTTAATTTTCTAATCTCGACCTATACACCAGTAGTCATGACAGGTCTTGTTATCTTTGGACGAAGACCTACCTCGAGAACAGAAAACTGCAGCTTATTTCAGCATTTTTCATAACCATCTTATCATTCAACACCTCATAACCTGAGCAACTGAATCAACGTAAGTGTACGGGTTTTTATACGCGCAGTCTTGAAACATTCCGATCGCACCTCGTATAAAACAGAAGTCCGAATCTCAAGACAGCAAAAACATGGTCACCGGGCTGTAAAGTCGTTTTAAACTGACTCTGCTCTGGTAATTTTCATGCACTCACGAACAACAGAGTTATTCAAAAATACTGAGATACAGCGAAGCAATTAGCTTGACTAAACGAACTGCTACTCTGAAAACTTAGAACACGGCGTCTACTTCGTACCGAATCACTGTCGACTTGAACGCCAGACACTTCGTGCACTGAAGACTCACATCACCACTGAACTACACATCAGTGTTGCGGTGTTCGCAGACCCTCCCCCGAGAAGGGGCTCACAACCAACACGTGCTGTGTCGACGCACATCTGCCCGGTCAAACCGGCACAACTGATTAGTGGGTTGCGTCCCATCAGGCGGAATTGTCCTTATCATACTGCCTAATCAAATATTTATTTTAATGTGAAGGAGGCACCATCAATATCATTACCAAAACAAACCTCTCCATGTGTCGCTTAGGTGCAAGTACACTGTCAATAGACATTATCATCATCATTATCAACGTCGTTGCCTGAGTTTTCCATGGCTTCATACACACATTGGTAAATCTGTCAAGAATACAGTACAGCTAATGTTCTATAATAATAATACTTGGTTTTATTTGTAGTGTTCTGTCTGAGGACAGGTCCATATGAACAGGATCCTTCCATCCTTTTCTCGGACTGGGACCTGTTCATATACGTTCTTGGCAGATGATCCAGAAGTGGTTTGCCATTGCCTTCTTCTGTGTGTGAATGGAGTAATTGTTGGGATGCCACGGAGAAACCGGGGAAGCCCCCGGAGGAAAACTCCGTGTTGCCTAGACCACGGCCTTGCCCAACACAAGTTATAAATTCGGGCACCGCCGGGAATCGAACCCGAGACCCCAGGATTACAAGGCCAGCGTTCTAACCGCTATCGTACACAAATGGTTGATGTGTGTCGTCGAGTCGAAAGTGTGTTAATTCCTGACAGACCGGACCACATCGACAGATGCAAGGCAGATCTGGTTCTGTTTCTCCTTCAATTCGTCTTATTCATTCTCGTTTCCTCTAGAGGTTCTTCATACTAATGCGTATAAGACGCAAAACATCCTCGCGCTGTCCCTGAACCCAAGTCATTCATGTGATCTCTTTGTATCAAGTTTGACTAAAATGTATTCACGCATGCTACATGCACCGTCCGTCCACCGGATTCTCCTCCACCCCACACTTCTGCGCACAGCTGATCCGCGCAACACTCGCTGAGTGACAGAGTTGGTGAGCGTAGACTCTGCGCATCTAAATGCCAATGGTCTCCATAAAATAGCAACACTGTAGACTCGCATGGTAAATGTTATGAGATTAGTCAGTGTAAGGAAATGCGAGGTTTCCTGTGACGCGATAATAGGTGGAGAAGTGGGGGGGGGGCGGTTGACGGTGGTGGGGAGACAAAAACAAGAATGACTGCTTTATAGGAGTAGTTTTTTTTATTCACAGATAGTGATCCGCCACGTCCGTGAATGAAGGAACTAAGGGGCGTGATTTTTGGAGACTCGGTGTTTGATTATATAATATCTCCTCAGGACAATATCAGCTCAAGGAACAGGTGTTGGTGTTCATAAGCGCCTCGCCCTGAAGTCAAAGCGACGTGGAGGTCACGCTGAACGCATTCTTGACCTGGGCACTGGTTGGATGTGAGTGGCCGTATCTTTCCGGAGGAAGACACCACAAATGACATTTGGACAGGGCGTTGTAGTGGGCACCAACGTCTTTTTGGATGTGATGGCACCGGCAGGATTCGGGCCCCTGTCATCATTTTAATAAGCAATTGCAGGTGAGTAACAGGACAGCGCCATTTTAACGACGCTGTCGGGGGAGTCAGGTCAGCTTTTAATGACAACTCAATTAACGAATGAATTCGGAAAGGGATAAGGACGGAAACGAAAGTGGCCTTCTTTTAAGTACTATTCCTGCGTGTGACTGAGGAAAATCACGAAACCCTCTGTCAGGATAGCGGTCTCCAAGCCGGATAAGAGAATGCATATTGGTGATCAGAGCAGAAGTAAGGTGCAGCCAGTTTGTTCCACCCTTGCCAGCAAGGATGCGAACAGGTCAACTCTGTCACGCTGCTAACATCCATTGACGATGACCATTCGTTCAAGAGTCCTCGAAATGATAGTGGCTCAGTTGGTCCAATAAATTTTTTGTCTTTTGTGGAACCCAGAATTTCATTGCCGTCTTCACAACAGCCAGCCACTGGATCCTATTCCACACCCTCATAAAGTCTGTTTTTATGACATTTTCTCCTTCTACGTATAGTTGTACCAAATGATCTAATCCTTTCAGGTTTTTCGACTAAAATTTTATGTGCAATTATCTATCCCACCCATCACCCATTTAATATCTGTTGATTTGGTCACCGTAATAATATTCCATGAATTACTACCACTGGTTACACAAGAACGTATTAGCCCAACAGCAAAAAGTGTCAATTTAAATACGCAATAGTAATTAACATTTTAATACTAATGATACACGCACTTGGACTGAGTAGCATTCATTCATACACAACACTTGTCATTATTCACTGTCTCAATTCTACAGATGCTGCCATTGACACGTGCCAAAGATGTGACGAATGAAACATGTTGTAAATGACTGCAGTGTGGTCTTTTGAGTTGTTTCGAGACGTAATCTTCTGACTGCATACCAACGTTTCGGAAGGAAAAAAATTCGTCTTTCGGCGTTTAATTGGAAGAAAATTGTAAGAAGGCGTTTGATATAAATTATGCGTATTTCACGTATGTAGACTATATTCTGTATCTGCATTTAACTGTGTTAAAACTAGGTATTCTTATTAAAATATATTAAAATTGTCCGTCAATCGCAATAAAGTAATATAAGATAATTAGATGGTTAAAATATTATCCTTTGTTCCGTATCGAGTACTCGATTTACATATGGAACATTCTCGACATCGAGTACTCGATACGGAACAAGGATAATATTTTAACCATCTAATTATCTTATATTACTTTATTGTGATTGACGGACAATTTTAATATATTTTAATACTATTTAAATAAAATCACAATATGACTCACCTACAATATCTTAGGTATTCTTGTCAACTTTCCCCGCAAAAGAATAATAATATCCGACATATGACGTGTTAACAGATAGACTTCAGTCGTCATAAATATCTGATGTAATGTTGTGTAATGCTGGGCACGAAAACAGCAATTTTCAACTAAACTGCAATACTATATAGATCAGATATACTCATGTTGACTTAAAAATACTTTGTTCTTTAAAATACAAAAAAAAATACATTTCCTTTAAGAACAATTTTCGTCAACTTCTTGTCCTGTTCAGTGAAATCAAACCCTTCCTTCATTATACAAGATTTAAAGCTCTCGTGGAGACTAAATGCAATGAAATACAAGTTTATTGCCTTCTGTACGTTCGTTTAACTCAGATAATAAAACGTACATAAATCTGAGATTTGAGTTTCTCACGGCGGTGAAGACCATCTACCCTGAAGCTGGAGAAGATACATTCCTCCGGAACTTTGGAAATCACCTACAAGAATTTGACATCCACCAACAACAAAGTTGTTTTAAGTTCCGTAAACACAGTTGTGTATTGTATTTTACATATTGATTTGAGTTATTACATTATATTATGTAATAATCAATTACAATATACAAAAATATAATACCTACCCGTGTTGACGATGCTTTAAACTACTTTGCTGTTCATCACATACACAGCAGAATGCAACCATTTAAGGCAACGACTGAATGAGAAGTCCACAGTAAAAATCCTATCATTTGTTCGTCGCATTGAAGTTCAACCACAGCCCTCAAAAATTATTTCTGTCTAATGGCTTTTAATAAAAAAGTGTCATATAAATTCTCGTTCCCATATTCTCGTACATTTACCTTCGTCTATTATTTTAAAAATACACAGCGTTTCGGAAGCTAATTCTGCTTCCGTCATCAGGTGTAAGTATACAACCTAATCAGTTTATAAGTGCAAACAATACCAATTCAGCAGCTAAATCCTTACATATTTCAATAAACTACGCAACCGGGGGAAACCACGGCTCGTCACCGTCTGACAAGAATGGCCAAGTCTGCTATCTAGAGCACACATTGCGTTATTTACCTTGATTCCAGCTGACGATGATGTAACAGTACAAAACTGGCTCAGAAATAAAGTCCCGGGCACGTCTGTTCACGTGTTTCGGAATCTACGTATCAGCTCTGTTCCTTGCGCGTGCTAGTCGCGTATGAACAGACCCTCTCTAGTCACGTGACTTCAAGCACCCTTCACACGCCTGTTGATCGAAACTTCCATAGCTGTTAGATTAAACACGTTAAATGGCGCACATAACCTCAAACTCCGCAGCAGAACGACTATAGAGAGATTCAGACGAAATTTGCCAAAATTCGTGAACATCTTAATTATTCCAGTGATTCTGAAGAACTTGTAAATGTCATGGAATTATAGTAATATGAAAGGAAGATTCTTAATAAGTAGTGAGTTGATAGGTTAGAGGTTTCGTTCTATTTAATTTCTTATGGCTTGTCTTTTAACGATGCCAAATGCATTAATGAAACAGCATCATAAACAATAATAATAATAATACAACTGACCTTCAGCTTTCGACAATCAAAAGCACCGCTTCATGCACTGTGTTGAGCTGGAATTAAATTTTCAACCATCCACCAGATACCGCTCACTTGTATGACAAGCAGTACAGAAATAGTTATTGTTTCTTCCGATAGATGGTGGTGTAATAGTCGGCAATACTTAATCTCAACATGCCCGCCATCTATGGGAAAGAACGTGATACCTCACGAAAATTATACCAGAAGAATCAAACGTGCAATCTGTAATTTACACTCAATAGACACCTTAGAGAATGCCATTCAAAAATACGTTCGGTTTTCCCAATTCGTGAGATGCCAGTTTAAGAAGGAGTGTCAGGAAGACAATAAACCCATGTTCAAGTCGCGGAAGGGCATCTCTCCGTTAGCATCAGCATGACTTATGTATCCAGAATCTTTGCTATATGCGTTCGTACTTTTGTAACTGACATCCAGCATTCCAATAAAATTTTAAAAGCGCATTTATTTCAGATATCTGCGGTTTTCGCGGCGTTGAGGATAACACTCTGGGTTTTGGCGTCGCGTAGACATGCTCTCTCAGAAATGGTGACATCCACCACCGAGTCTGTACGGCGCCAAAACCCAGAAGAACATCATCTTCATATCAACTTGCTCTCTCAACATAACACAAGAACACGCACTGCGATTGTTTCAGGACGGACTCTGATAAGAGTACTTAAATCTAAGACAGAAACAGAGAACCAGTAAAATGCAGAAAATGACACAATGAGAAACTTCATAATTTGTTAATTTTACCAATAGAAGGACAATTGGGCGTAGGCCACACGCAATGACAGGCAATAAAAATATACGCAGAATTGTAGTTTATTCTACTCCCTGAAATGATTTTCCTCTGGTCAACACACACACGAATTTTTAATTCTTCTACTCTCAGTCATTTCAATCTGAAAGAACAGTCAGTTAAAAACTGAAAAGTTAATTCTAACTGTTCTGTGACAAAGTCTGTTTTAAAACTTGTACAAATTAATTTCTGATAATAAGCAAGATTGTTTAGTGAAAGAAAAATGTATATGAAGATTTCTGTCTTCTGGGTTATTGCGCTGTGTAGTCTGGTCGATGTTAACCAACGTTTCAGAGGTCATACTGCCTCCGTCATCAGGGCGATGAAACGTTGGTTAACATCGACC